TCCTTTCCTGACTGAGTCTTGAGATATATACACCGCAACTTTAACACTGCTTCCTTTTCTTACTGACTCTTGAGATATATACACCGCAACTTTAACACTGCTTCCTTTCCTGACTGAGTCTTGAGATATATACACCGCAACTTTAACACTGCTTCCTTTCCTGACTGACTCTTGAGATATATACACCGCAACTTTAACACTGCTTCCTCTCCTTACTGACCATTGAGATATTTACACCGCAGCTTTAACACTGCTTCCTTTCCTTACTGACTCTTGAGATATATAAACCGCAACTTTAACACTGCTTCCTCTCCTTACTGACCATTGAGATATTTACACCGCAACTTTAACACTGCTTCCTTTCCTTACTGACTCTTGAGATATATACACCGCAACTTTAACACTGCTTCCTTCTTTACTGACTCTTGAAATATATACACCGCAACTTTAACACTGCTCAATTCCTTACTGACTCTTGAGATATATACACCGCAACTTTAACACTGCCTCCTTTTCTTACTGACTCTTGAGATATATACACCGCAACTTTAACACTGCTTCCTTTCCTGACTGAGTCTTGAGATATATACACCGCAACTTTAACACTGCTTCTTTTCCTGACTGACTCTTGAGATATATACACCGCAACTTTAACACTGCTTCCTTTCCTGACTGAGTCTTGAGATATATACACCGCAACTTTAACACTGCTTCCTTTCCTGACTGAGTCTTGAAATATATACACCGCAACTTTAACACTGCTACCTTCCTTACTGACTCTTGAAATATATACACCGCAACTTTAACACTGCTGCCTTTTTTACTGACTCTTGAGATATATACACCGCAACTTTAACACTGCCTCCTTTTCTTACTGACTCTTGAGATATATACACCGCAACTTTAACACTGCTTCCTTTCCTGACTGAGTCTTGAGATATATACACTGCAACTTTAACACTGCTTCCTTTCCTGACTGACTCTTGAGATATATACACCGCAACTTTAACACTGCTTCCTTTCCTTACTGACTCTTGAGATAAATACACCGCAACTTTAACACTTCTTCCTTTCCTTACTGACTCTTGAGATATATACACCGCAACTTTAACACTGCTCAATTCCTTACTGACCATTGAGATATATACACCGCAACTTTAACACTGCTGTCTTTCCTTACTGACTCTTGAAATATATACACCGCAACTTTAACACTGCTACCTTCCTTACTAACCATTGAGATATAAACACCGCGACTTTAACACTGCTTCCTTTCCTTACTGACTCTTGAGATGTATACACCGCAACTTTAGCACTGCTTCCTTTCCCTACTGACCATTGAGATATACACACTGCAAATTTAACACTGCTTCCTTTTCTTACTGACTCTTGAGATATATACACCGCAACTTTAACACTGCTACCTTCCTTACTGACTCTTGAAATATATACACCGCAACTTTAACACTGCTACCTTCCTTACTGACTCTTGAAATATATACACCACAACTTTAACACTGCTTCCTTTCCTTACTGACTCTTGAGATATATACACTGCAACTTTAACACTGCTTCCTTTCCTGACTGAGTCTTGAGATATATACACCGCAACTTTAGCACTGCTTCCTTTCCTGACTGACTCTTGAGATGTATACACCGCAACTTTAGCACTGCTTCCTTTCCCTACTGACCAATGAGATAAACACACTGCAACTTTAACACTGCTTCCTTTCGTAACTGACTCTTGAGATATATACACCGCAACGTTAACACTGCTTCCTTCCTTACTGACCATTGAGATATATACACCGCAACTTTAACATTGCTTCCTTTCCTTACTGACCATTGAGATATACACACCGCAACTTTAACACTGCTTCCTTTCCTTACTGACTCTTGAGATGTATACACCGCAACTTTAGCACTGCTTCCTTTCCCTACTGACCATTGAGATATACACACTGCAACTTTAACACTGCTTCCTTTTCTTACTGACTCTTGAGATAAATACACCGCAACTTTAACACTGCTTCCTTTTCTTACTGACCATTGAGATATTTACACCGTAACTTTTACACTGCTTCCTTCCCTACTGACCATTGAGATATACACACCGCAACTTTAACACTGCTTCCTTTTCTTACTGACTCTTGAGATATATACACCGCAACTTTAACACTGCTTCCTTCCTTACTGACCATTGAGATATACACACCGCAACTTTAACATTGCTTCCTTCCTTACTGACCATTGAGATATACACACTGCAACTTTAACACTGCTTCCTTTCCTTACTGACTCTTGAGATATATACACTGCAACTTTAACACTGCTTCCTTTTCTTACTGACCATTGAGATATTTACACCGCAACTTTAACACTGCTTCCTTTCCTTACTGACTCTTGAGATATATACACCGCAACTTTAACACTGCTTCCTTCCTTACTGACCATTGAGATATACACACCGCAAATTTAACACTGCTTCCTGCCTTACTGACCATTGAAATATATACACCGCAGCTTTAACACTGCTTCTTTCCTTACTGACCATTGAGATATATACACCGCAACTTTAACACTGCTTCCTTCCTTACTGACCATTGAGATATACACACTGCAACGTTAACACTGCTTTCTTCCTTACTGACCATTGAGATATATACACTGCAAATTCAACACTGCTTCCTTTTCTTACTGACTCTTGAGATATATACACCGCAACTTTAACACTGCTACCTTCCTTACTGACTCTTGAAATATATACACCACAACTTTAACACTGCTTCCTTTCCTTACTGACTCTTGAGATATGTACACCGCAACTTTAACACTGCTTCCTTTCCTGACTGAGTCTTGAGATATATACACCGCAACTTTAGCACTGCTTCCTTTCCTGACTGACTCTTGAGATGTATACACCGCAGCTTTAGCACTGCTTCCTTTCCCTACTGACCAATGAGATATACACACTGCAACTTTAACACTGCTTCCTTTTCTTACTGACTCTTGAGATATATACACCGCAACGTTAACACTGCTTCCTTCCTTACTGACCATTGAGATATATACACCGCAACTTTAACATTGCTTCCTTTCCTTACTGACCATTGAGATATACACACCGCAACTTTAACACTGCTTCCTTTCCTTACTGACTCTTGAGATGTATACACCGCAACTTTAGCACTGCTTCCTTTCCCTACTGACCATTGAGATATACACACTGCAACTTTAACACTGCTTCCTTTTCTTACTGACTCTTGAGATATATACACCGCAACGTTAACACTGCTTCCTTCCTTACTGACCATTGAGATATACACACCGCAACTTTTACATTGCTTCCTTCCTTACTGACCATTGAGATATACACACTGCAACTTTAACACTGCTTCCTTTCCTTACTGACTCTTGAGATATATACACTGCAACTTTAACACTGCTTCCTTTTCTTACTGACCATTGAGATATTTACACCGCAACTTTAACACTGCTTCCTTTCCTTACTGACTCTTGAGATATATACACTGCAACTTTAACACTGCTTCCTTTTCTTACTGACCATTGAGATATATACACCGCAACTTTAACACTGCTTCCTTCCTTACTGACCATTGAGATATACACACTGCAACGTTAACACTGCTTTCTTCCTTACTGACCATTGAGATATATACACCGCAACTTTAAAACTGCTTCCTTCCTTACTTACCATTGAGATATATACACTGCAGCTTTAACACTGCTTCCTTTCCTGACTGACTCTTGAGATATATACACCGCAACTTTAACACTGCTTCCTTTCGTAACTGACTCTTGAGATATATACACCACAACTTTAACACTGCTTCCTTTCGTAACTGACTCTTGAGATATATACACCGCAACTTTAACACTGCTTCCTTTTCTTACTGACTCTTGAGATATATACACCGTAACTTTAACACTGCTTCCTTTCCCTACTGACTCTTGAGATATATACACCGCAACTTTAACACTGCTTCATTTCCTTACTGACTCTTGAGATATATACACCACAACTTTAACACTGCTTCCTTTCGTAACTGACTCTTGAGATATATACACCGCAACTTTAACACTGCTTCCTTTTCTTACTGACTCTTGAGATATATACACCGTAACTTTAACACTGCTTCCTTTCCCTACTGACTCTTGAGATATATACACCGCAACTTTAACACTGCTTCATTTCCTTACTGACTCTTGAGATATATACACCGCAACTTTAACACTGCTTCCTTCCTTACTGACCATTGAGATATATACACCGCAGCTTTAACACTGCTTCTTTCCTTACTGACCATTGAGATATATACACCGCAACTTTAACACTGCTTCCTTCTTTACTGACCATTGAGATATATACACCGCAACTTTAACACTGCTTCCTTTCCTGACTGACTCTTGAGATATATACACCGCAACTTTAAAATTTAATTTAAATCCTTTCGTTAGGGCCCCCAGTTTGGCTCTTGTGTAATCATATCATTTGTGATACTGGAGCAATTTGTCAAAGAAAGCGCGGTAACCTTTCGATCACTGCTTTGTTTTTAGTTTTCGTTTTTTAGTAAGTTGTTTTATTGTTACGTAGCATAAGCGCGCGCTGACCGTTAATGGCACGCGCAAAGCAGACTCGTACCTAGTCGCGCTATACGTGTTTTCTGGGAAGAGATGACTGGACACTAGGATGGACTGAGGTGAGCGGGGTGTCATGGGAGGAGGTAAGGGAAAAATAGATTCTGCGCGCACAGTGCAATCTATTCATAGCTCAGTTGACCATCTATGCACTATGGAGATCACGAGGTGATATGGGATAGATGCAGATTTACGTCATTGAAAGAAAGTGAACTAAATCATCCTAACTTTTCACTCTTTATCATCTCTCAAAGTTTGCTGAGCGTGAAGCCCTGGGTTCGAAATTGTTGTAAGTTGTTCCCAGGAATTTGCGGTTTTTCAATATGGCGGATGTGTCAACTACGGGGAGAGAAACTTTTTGTTATTTCTATAGGCTTGCATTAATATAAAAATGACACGTGAACGTCTGATTTTCTACGATTAATGTCAGTAGAATATATTTCAATTAATTTGTCATCGGTACTAAGCACAGAAAGATGTTACCGGTGATCTTTACACTGAGCTAAACTAGATGTCGAGAAACGACTTTCGTCCTAAGACGTTGAAATTTGCGAGAAATAATCCAACTTTGAGAAGTCTGATGGCTGACTCTCAGAAGTTGAAGCTCAATCACTCCATAATATCGATTTCTAATGGTGGGAGCGGAGGAAATTCAGACGGCCGCAAAGAGCTTGTTGTCCTGGGAATCACTCTAGATTCACTTCCGAAGTCAGCCCAGTTCTTTGTTTGTTGTGGTGGAGTTTTCGTATTTTATCTGATATATGGATATGTTCAGGTAAGTAATGAGACAATATGTCTGTATAACCCCATATTTTATTATGCATACAGTTTTTTTTAAATTTTTATTTATTTATATATTTATTTTTTAATGAAGAAAACAGAGCAGTAAACAATAGTTCACCTCTGGGACGAATACTTTGTTTAAGAACACGATAGGGTTTTAGTGAAATCTTCCCGAGGAATGACATTAGGTGCTAAACTTATGTAGAGAGAGATGATTCTTTTCTACTTATCACGAGCGTGGGACAAAGTGTTACAGCATCGGAACACGGAATCCGAAGGTCTGAGGTTCGATTCCTCATGGGGACTCAGAATATTTTCTCTCTCTTACGCTCGTGACAAGACGAAAAAACATCTTTCTCTATTTTCTTACCGAGCTCAAAACTTGCCATCTCTTTTATTCTTTTTGATATTATCTAGTTCTAATTTGGAAATTGAGGCTTTACCAAAAACTCTCTAACAAATCTTTTAATCAGCTTCTAGTTATCCTTTAGTGAGTCTCCCCCCCCCCCATACCAACTATGACTTTGTGATACGCCTTGCCTCTTGCTACCAAGTCACCTCTTTGTCACCCCTCTTTCCTTTTTTTACAATTCCCCCCCCCCCCTCCCTCTCTCTCACTAAAATGCCTCATTCTCTAATAAGCCCCTTATAACTTCTAAAAATATTTATTTATCACAAAACCATGAAGGTGAGCCACTGTGCTCTCATCAGGAGATAAATGACCACATTTTGTGTATGAGAGCATAGTTCCCTCCCTCTCCCTCCCCCCCCTCCAGACTGGGACATGGTCATGGTAAAAACTACCAGTTAGTCTGCCATATTTCACCTCATTATACAGTATATAATGAAGTGAAATAAATAATGAGGATAAAAACAATAATTATTGAAATACCATCTAGGAAATTTGCACAGCAGCACTATTTAAAAGATTAAAAGAATGGAATGCATAGTTGACTAGTAACAGGTTTAGATGTGTGAATATACTACATTTTCAGAATTGTTGGAAGGTTCATGCCCACTTTGTGGAATGCTTGAGACATATCAGTATAATACCATGTTGTTTGTAATGTTACAAACAGCATGGTGTCCACAGCAAACTGACCTTCCACTACTTTCCTTCAATTTTGAAACTTATTGACAGTCTTGAGTTCTGATCCTTTAGAATTTAGAGACCAACTGTTTTCTTATTTCTTAAACAGGAATGGATCTTTAGAACAGGAATGAAACCATTTGGTTGGTATCTCACTCTTGTCCAGTTTGCTTGGTATTCAATATTTGGAATATTTGAAACCAGCTTTAAAAAAGACAAAACAAGAAAGTAAGTATAAGGAGTTATTACCCTTTAGCCTTGACTAAATGAAGGTATCTGAACATTTAGCAGTTATTGAATTCAGTTTTGCTTGATTTCATGAATTAGCAAAACTGAGGTCCAAGGTTATCTATTGAAGCAAAGGCTGGGTTAGACAACTCGGACACAAGGTTTGATAATTCATGATATTGTGCAAAAACCAAATTCAAAACTTGTTTTATTATACATTTTTTTAAAAACAACACCTCTTTCTGAGTTTGCGAAAGGTTGAGGACTCTACATGGTCAAAGGGCTTGGAAACTGGGCAGCCTTTGAACTTGACTTATTCCACATATCAGTTCAACTTCTGATGCTAAATTTGTATATTTGATTGAATGCTCTCAACCAACAAATTTTTCATATTGAGTCTTAAATGTACGATAATATTGGATCAATATCAGTATCTGGGCAACTGCCCACCTACCCCTCCCCTAACCCAAAATTAACCCTAACTTATTATCAATTGACTGTTGTTGAGTTAGGGGAGGGGTAGGTGGGCAGTTACCCAGATACTGATATTGATCCATAATATTTATCCTTGTCCTCTTCTTGTTGGCAGAATTCCTCTGAAGACATATTCACTTTTAGCATTCTTGACTGTGGCCACAATGGGACTCTCTAATACATCTCTTAGCTATTTAAATTATCCTACACAGGTACAGGAATCTTAATGAATTTAAAAATAAAAATAATTTTAAGTTTCACTGTCTCTATATTTTATTAACTCCTTAACCCTTTAACTCCCAGAAGTGATCAACCTGTCACTTCTCCCCAGAGTATCCTTACATTATCCAGCAAACAAGCAGTGAGAATAC